GTTTTTGAAAAACACCACAAATGGAAAACTGATTTACCAGGCCATTTGTACATGACACGGTAACAAAGTCCTCTTCAGATGGCATTAATTTAGGAGGAGACAAGTCCAGAGTAAAGTTTCAAGTAGAAATGTATCAGATATCTTCTCTGTGGAAAGCAGCTTTATGCTCATAGGTTGGTTTCTTCTTTTGTAGCAGAACTAAAGTCCTTTAGTTTACAGCTTGTAAATTTCTGGCATATTATGAAAACATGCTTTAAATCTTCTCTCCGTCATTATTTTTCTCCAGTGTTGAGCAGATGTGCATCCAGATCAAGGAGGTTGGTGACAGAGTCAACTACATCAAACGCTCATTGCAGTCTCTAGATACACAAATTGGCCACTTGCAGGACCTTTCTGCTCTCACGGTGGATACTTTGAAAACTCTAACTGCGCAGAAAGCATCAGAAGCAAGCAAGGTCCACAATGAAATCACACGGGAACTGAGTATTTCAAAACACTTGGCCCAGAACCTTATTGATGATGTTCCCTTACGATCTTCCATGTGGAGGAAACACAGTATTGGCAATGTGTTTGGTTCTTCTTTCCCCCAAGGAGGCCTTGAAAGTAATAATGCTGTACTGTGCAACATATCTATGCAAGAAGAAAACGATCCAGGACATAAGATGACTGGTTTCCCCAAGGGGGATGAATTCAGCTTTCCCGAGGCAGGTTCCTCAGGTGGTGCCTTACTTCCAAAAGCCCTTTCTCCCACAGAACTTCGTCAAAGAGTACAGGGTATACAAGTATCCAAATGCAGTAATAAAGGTAAAAAGGGTGGCAGTTCTTTAAACAGTCTACCATATCTAACATCTTTGTCAGCTAAATTTTTTGTGAGCACTCCTTCTCAACCCATTTGTAAAAACCCGTCAGAAAGCACCACAAAGGATGAAGACATTCTGGTCCCGAAGGCTGCTGAAGGAGAAAATGCTATTGAATTTGGTGCATTTGTGGGTAAGTATAACAAACGAAAAGGTGGGCTTCCAGAAATTGCTGGGGGTTGCTGCGATGTTCCAGTTTCTGGCGTCGTTTGTTTTGCTTCCATCTCCCAACATTGTGGAGGTTATATCAATTCTGGATTTACTGATGATGAAAATTATACTGCTGCTAAGAACTATTCAGGCAAATGGAACTGCCAGACCTCTTCTAACTTTGTGAAGACTGTTGCCCAAAGTCAATTACAGTTGCCTTTTGCTAATGAGATCAGAAGTGTTCCTTGTAGTGGATTGAAAAAGACACAGGAAGTTGAAAGACCAAATAGAAGTTTTCCAGCAACGTCACCAAAGAGCTCCAGTTTAAGTTCCAGTGTCACTGCACATCACCAGAAACTCTGGATCAAATCTAAGCTGCAAGGTTTGATTTATCAAGAATTGTATGGTACCTTTATGGATTTTGTGGTACTTTTGGTGCACTCTGTTTTAATATCTTGATTTCCTCTCCAAATGGTTCTTTCTTTGTGAAAGTGTAAACTCTTCAAAAAAAAAAAAAAAAAAAA